AATGAAGCTCAAACAAGGTATTTAATATGTCACGCTAATAAAAACGATACATATAGATCTAAAATGAGGTGAATGAGAATTGTAGCATTTTATGTAGAATTTCATTTGAAGAACCTTTTTTTTTTTTCACGATAAACTAACTACACTTCATTTTAATCTTCATTTTTAAGCATCGTTCTATTGAGAGTCTTCCTAGATGAAACATTAAAGTTATGATTTGAAAAAGAATCGATAGAACTAACTGCACTAACACAGTTTTACAATACAACACTTAATCGAATTGAGTAAAAGCACGAGTTCGAACGTATCTCGAGTTTCATTTATTATTAAGTTATAAAGACCAATTAACTATTCATTGTTAGGTAAAATGTAACTCAACACCCACGTACATGCACCCATAAAAGATATTTCCTTGAGTGTCACTTTTAAATAGGTGTACAGGATGATGGGTTGATATCAAAACAAGAATCCAAATGGAATAGTTGCAAAATTACAGTAAGCTGTCACCGGTCACCACACATAAAGTGGGATCCCTTTGCCTCCTCACCTTCTATTATAATTATAACATGGTTACTCTTAGGAATTCATTGTTTAAATTAATATTAAAGTCCCAAGTATTTCACTTGGAAAGGATATATTTAATTATTTCAAATTAATTTTCATACATACCCTCTGAAATTCAAATAAAATTCATTTTTTTTATCAAAAGTTTTGATGCAAGCACAACACACACTTTGTACTATTGTATTATATTAAAGTGCTTCATCTTAGCCCTTGTTTCAGCCCTATTTCTGCCAAAAAAATAAATGCATTTTGAAAATAGTGTAATGATGTGAAATGTGTGATTAAAAAATAATGAAAAATTTTGAATTTGCATATAATATTATTTTATTAAAAATGTATTGTTGAAATGATGTCAAAATACTGTTTAAAAATGTATTTTTTCCGAAAAATGGGCTCAAACAAGGACTTAGGGCCTGTTTGGGAGCGATTTTTTCCTCAAAAAATTGATTTTTTGACCATTATTTCACTATTCCAACCGTCATATTTGACTTCTTCTCTCACGAATGGACCTTACTTGTCTCCTAACGATCAAAAAATTAATTCTCAAAATCACTTTCAAACAGACTCTTAATATGTTGAAGATGAGATATTTATTTTTTTCAATTCAGTCTTGAACGTGTCTTCCCACGTGTTGACCAAATTTATTTTTTCAATAAAAAGTCTGGCACGTGTATATAATTTTCAAATAGTGCTTATATTGACATTATTATTTTTATTTATTGCACTACTTTCAATGTAATTGAGGTAATTACATTATCACACTTATGTCCTAAACTTTTTTCGCTGTATTCTTGTCATCAACCTCTTGTCAACTATCATACATTGTCCTTAATGACTGTTTCTATCCGAAAAAGTCATTAGGAGGACATAAAAATACTTATTTATCCCTCATATTTTAAAATAAGGCAAAATAATAAATATTAAATTGTGGCTCATCATTTCAAAGAACACTAACAAAATATTTCTAGGTAAACCATATAAAAACTAGATGTATTAATTAATTGAACGTTTGTGATAAAATTGCAATCAAAAAATGGGCACATAAGTGTAACAATAAGCAAAGACTAATAATGTTCAATGAATCGACACTTATTTCGTATGTGATGCAACTACAATGCGTGAGAGGTCTAGTGATCGGTCTCAAAAGCAAGATGGAAATTGTCAATTGCTCTTCGATTGTAGTCTACTCTATATTGGCATATTGGCTCATCCTCTGGAAGGGCTACTAGTCTTCACAAGCTATTGATCTACTATATAAGCAGAAAGGGGATTAAGATGTGGTGTAACAAAAAAATGTTGTATCAATATAAATTATCCATTTCATAAATAAGTAATAATGTGATTTGATTTCTTCAAACTTAGATATCAAGTTAAACTACACCTAAAAGTATAAACAGTTAAAAAAAATTTTAAATTTATTCTTCAATATGCACTCTTTATATATATATATATATATACTAGTCTTGTGCCATGCAATGCATTGCTTGAATTTTATAAAAGGAGATATTAGCATATTAAATAAGGAAACAAAGGGAGACTACAAACAATAAAAAATTGATTCGATTAATTAAACGATTTAATTATATCAATTAGATATTCAACAATAAAAAAAAATGATTCGATNATACGTTTAATGTCCGTTTAACTATTTTTGATATCTATTTAGATCATTCAATATCTCTACGAAATAGTTCTCAAAATGAGTTTGGAGAAAATGTAAAATATTTATCGATTCGACTATCGCACAGTCATCGATGAATTTTTAAAGTTAGCTTGTTATCGAAAATTTCGAAATATAGTTTGAAAATGCCTACATTGACGTCCGATAATATTTGCTATGATTAACCGTTTCACGCACCGTTAACGACGTGCAATACTATGTCGCGAGTACTTCAAAACGATATTAAGAATATAATATTTCGACTTCATTTGATATCCCGTAATGAGCCTTAAAATAAACATAAAAACATAAGTAAAAAAAAATATCGAGAGAATGTAAAACATTTATCGATTTGACTATCGTATAATCGTCGACGAATTTTTAAAGTTAACTTGTTATCGAAAATTTCGAAATAGTAATAAAATAATTGATTTTTTTTAAGAAAAACGAATTATTCGTATTTTTTAACACATACGTTTAATATCCGTTTAACTACTTTTGATATCTATTTAAATCATTCGATGTCTCTACGATATAGGTCTCAAAATGAGTTTGGAGAAAATGTAAAATATTTATCGATTCGATTCTCGCACGGTCGTCGATAAATTTTTAAAGTTAGCTCATTATCGAAAATTTCAAAATATAGTTTGAACATACATACTTTGATGTCCGATAACATTTGCTATGATTGACCATTTCACGCACCGTGAATGACGTGCAATACTATGTCGCGAATACTTCAAAACAATATTAAGAATATAATATTTCGACTTTATTTGATATTCCGTAATGAGCCTGAAAATTAATACAAAAACATAAGTATAAAAAAAAATTAAAAATTTGAATTCAGACACTCCGCACAACGCGGAGTGTCTAATTTTACTCTTCTTCTGTTTTTTTTTTTCCTTCTTACGGACTTATTTTTTTACTAAATTTATTATTATTATTTTTTTAATTTGGCTATAAGTTTTGCTACAGTTATCGGAATTGAGCCCATGACCCCAATTCAGAAAGCTCTTTTCGACATGCACGTTATGGCCACCTAGCTTTGCTTGGTGGACATCGTTTTCGAGGTCAAATTTCGCCGTTTTCCCTTCCAAATTTCCAATTATAGTTTGACGTCAAATTTAAAAAATGCGTATAACTCGTCATTATTTTTTAACGCAACATCTATAAAAAATATATTGTCTATATTTTATCGAACTCGTTTCGAGAACTATATTATGGACTCATAGAATTGATCTAAATGAATATCGAAAATAGTTAAAGTTACATCAAACGCGTTTCTTAAAAAGTTTACAAAAAAAATATATTAATAGTATAATTAAAAAAATTAAAAGGAAAAACTTGTCTGTGCAAAGTCAACAACTGTGGGCGCAAGTGACCATTAAGCCCTCAATGTATTAATTAGTGTAAGGTGGGATTTTCAAGGGTAAAGTGGGAAAACAATGTAAAGGAGGAAAAAAAAAAGAAAAAAAAAGAAAAGGACAAACTACTGTAGCAAAATCGGATAAATTGGATTCAAGTGTGAAAACGGCTGTGACATAAATGAACAGTAACAAAAGTCTCTCTTTTAAGAGAGTAAATATATATATATATATTATTTTTTATTTTTTTATTTTTTTATTTTTTTTTTGGGGTCGAAATTCTAACACATACATAATATTGGTATATGGGGTGAAGGTGGGACGCGAACTACCAACTTTAGTTTATATTTAACCACTAGAGATTAGACTCCATGTCACCAACTAGATTACAAACTCATGAAGCAAATAAACAAAGCATTATAATTTAGAAAGACTTTATCAAATTTATTTTGTGATGGCAAGTGAATACCAATTATTGAACAGACTGAAATAATTAGAAAAGGCCAAAATTCACTTGCCAAAGTTCATGCATGGGAAATATTGATTAAAATCCAATTTAAAGGGCCACCATGTCAGAAATTAAATAATAATAAAATAAAAAAGGCAGATTTTTAGACCTTATCACATTTATGATGCAGAAAAGGTAGTAGCATCTTTAAAATCTGCCTTGGAACAACTTGTGGTCCTCAGTAGTTGATATTTGGGACATATCAACTTACAAAAATCATAAGTAGAAAAAATTGTAAAGATCTTTTGCTCTAGAGATTTCAAATAATACAGTTTCTTAACATATTTATACTAATGTTTTCTATCTTATATTTCAATTACATACCAGACAATTCGATATCAGAAAGCAGCAGCTTGTATGGATACCTAAGCATTTCCATGATATGTGCAGATCAAAAGGACGAATGGAATGATGAGGAAGAATTCATATAGACGACTCCAAATTTATTTGAAAGTAACTCTTATCTTAATAGCCGAATAAGTAACTTGTTTCTAATTTAATTTAAACCTTACTTATAATTAAGACCTTTCAGCTTAATCAAATATGCTCTTTTGTTGCTCACTACAAAACCAAAAGTAGAAACAAAGTACTTGCAGACAAGAAAAGGTCATTAGAACAACTTGCCATGTGTTTTCTAGAAGACAAGGTCTATCTTACAATGACAACAACAGAACATGCAAGAAGAAATACTCTGTACACTATGAAATCATATTATCCACACACTACATGTATTTAGTGTTGTCAAAATCAATTGAGCGTGGCTCAGCCCACAAAAGCAAAGCCGAGCCGAGCCAAACTGCCTGGTCAAGAAAAGAGATCATAGGCCTATGGGAGAAGGGTCCAAATCAGACTAATCTGGCTTAGTCCTGGCTAGGGCGTTTGACACCCCTACATTTATTCCATTCAGGTGCTCTGTTTTTTTATGCCTTGCAGCCAATCAACTCAACTGAAACTCTACAAACATATTTTTGTTTAGTCTACATCGAAATTTCAAAAATTCCGTTTTTATTCACAAATGTTGATAGACAGAAAGGCCCCTTTAAACATGTCATGATTACTGTAGAGACATCATTTGATGAAACTCTAGCTCTTGCAGTTGCTTAGAAGAAGATGAAACAGAACAGTAGCAAAGTACAATTTGCATCATGTCAAGCAAAGTAATTACCTCATTCCTCTTGTTTATTGGCATATGCCTATCTCCCACAATCCGTGCTTTAAACCAAGAAGGCCTATCTCTTCTATCATGGCTATCAACCTTCAATTCTTCATCTTCTGCAAGTTTCTTCTTTTCGTGGGATCCGACAGACCAAAATCCTTGCAAATGGGATCACATTAAATGTACAAACGATGGATTCATTTCGGAAATTATAGTCACTTCTATCAGTCTTCACACTACATTTCCAACTCAGTTCCTTTCCTTCAACTATCTTACAGTACTTGTTATCTCTAATGGCAACCTCACCGGTGAAATTCCACGGTCGATCGGAAACTTGTCATCGCTGATCACTTTGGATCTCAGTTTCAATTCTCTGACAGGGAGCATACCACCTGAAATTGGAAAACTATCAGAATTGCAGCTATTATCATTGAACTCAAACTCCTTGCATGGAGGAATTCCAAAAGAAATAGGAAACTGCACACAACTGCAGCAGCTTGAACTCTTTGATAATCAGCTCAACGGAAAAATTCCTCCAGAAATTGGCCGGTTAAGGGCTCTGGAGATCTTTCGTGCTGGGGGAAACATAGGACTCCATGGAGAAATTCCAACTGAGATATCACACTGCACAAGTCTAGTTCTTTTGGGACTTGCAGATACTGGGATTACGGGTCAGTTTCCTCGTACTTTAGGAAAACTGAAGAACCTCAAGACTCTTTCAGTCTACACAGCAAATCTCACAGGTGAGATCCCAGCGGAACTCGGTAACTGCTCAGCATTAGAAAATTTGTTCATGTATGAAAATCAAATAACTGGCGGAATTCCGCTTGAGTTAGGTTCCCTTAAGAATCTGAAAAGGATTTTGCTGTGGCAGAACAATCTGAGAGGAACAATTCCAGAATCTCTTGGTAACCTTACAAGTTTGAAAGTGATAGATTTTTCGTTGAATTTTCTAACTGGAAAACTTCCTCTATCTCTACAATGTATAGGCACACTGGAGGAATTACTTTTGTCCGATAACTGTATTACAGGCGAGATACCACAGTATATTGGAAATTTCTCCAACTTGAGACAACTTGAGTTGGACAACAACAATATTTCTGGAGAGATTCCATCCGAAATCGGGAAACTAAAAGAGCTCTCTCTTTTCTTTGCCTGGCAGAATCAACTAGATGGAAAGATACCAACTGAGCTATCAAATTGCCGGAAAATTCAAGCTTTGGATCTATCTCACAATTCACTCACTGGACCACTTCCAAAGTCTCTGTTTAATCTCAGGAATTTAACTAAGATTCTATTGATTTCAAATCAACTTTCAGGTCAAATTCCACCTGATATTGGCAATTGCACCAGCTTAACCCGGTTACGGCTGGGATCAAACCTGTTTGATGGTCAAATTCCATCAGAAATCGGACAGTTGAAGACTTTGAGTTTCCTTGAACTGTCTGGAAATCAATTCTCAGGAGCAATTCCCCCAGATCTTGGTAACTGCACACAACTGGAAATGGTTGATCTGCACGGAAACAAGCTTCAAGGAGAGATTCCAGAGTCTTTCGTGTCTCTGACTGATCTTAATGTGTTAGATCTTTCCATGAATAATATATCAGGCAGTATACCAGAATATATAGGAAAGCTCACATCACTTAACAAACTTGTGCTGAGTAGAAACTACATCTCTGGTTCGATTCCTCGATCACTTGGCCTTTGCAAGGATTTGCAGTTGCTGGATTTGAGTAGCAACAGACTCAGTGGTTCAATCCCAGATGCTATTTGTCACCTAAAAGAATTGGACATACTATTAAATTTAAGCTCAAATTCTTTAACGGGACAAATCCCAGAAGGCTTTTCAAATTTCTCAAATCTTGCCAACATGGACATATCCCATAATATGTTGACAGGAAGCCTGCAAGTTCTCAGCAACCTAGAAAATCTTGTTTCTTTGAATGTGTCCTATAACAATTTTTCAGGTTCTCTTCCCAACACCAAATTTTTTCGGGATCTTCCTAATAGCGCATTTGCTGGTAATCCAGAACTTTGCTTTGCTAGGAACAAATGCAATGTCAGCAAACACCTTCATAGCCAAAAATTTGTCAAAATTCTCACTATCATTGTTGTCCTCCTTGTCATCATGACTTCTTTAACTATGACAGCAGGAACAATCTTATTTATCAAAGCACGCGATGCAACATTCAGGAAGAATGATGAAGAAAATCACCTCGAGTGGGATTTAACTCCATTCCAAAAGATTAATTTCTCAGTAAATGATGTGGTAACCAAACTATCAGATTCTAACATTGTGGGAAGAGGCTGCTCTGGTATTGTTTATCGTGTTGAGACACCGACACAGCAAGTCATTGCCGTCAAGAGACTATGGCCAAGGAAAAGTGGTGAGATTGCACAAAAAGACCAATTTTCAGCAGAAGTTACAGTACTGGGATCGATTAGACATAAAAATATAGTACGACTTCTAGGTTGTTGTGACAATGGGAAAAATAGATTGCTCTTATTTGATTACATCAGTAATGGGAGTTTAGCAGGACTTCTCCATGAGAAGAAGACATTCTTGGACTGGGATGCAAGGTATAAACTTCTACTGGGAGCAGCTAAAGGTCTAGATTATCTTCATCATGACTGTATCCCTCCAATTGTCCATCGAGATATCAAGTCCAACAACATTTTAGTCGGTCCAAATTTCGAAGCTTTTCTTGCAGATTTTGGACTTGCAAGGCTTGTAAATTCTTCAGGCTCTTCAAGCGCTTCCAACATAGTAGCAGGATCATTGGGATACATTGCTCCTGGTAAGCACACAAGCCTGAAAAATATATAATTTGCTTGAGGTATTATTGATCAATAAACATACCTACTTTCAGCTGGTAGCCAAAGTCCAAGTATCCTACTGAACCATCTCATCTAAAAGTTTAAGATGTTAGAATGGGATACATTTTATTTCTTAAATACTTTCTTCAACACGCCTCGTCACGTGTAGGCTGCCTTCTTTTTTTCAAGGTCTAACACAAGCATAATTTTGTATATGGGTGCAATCGAGACGTAAACCAAATGCCTTTGCCTGCTTTGATAATATGTTGAACCATCTCATCTAAAAGTTTAAACTGTTAAAAAGGGAACACGTTTATTTATTTAAATGTTGTCTTCAATGGTTTTCAAGAAAATAGGACTTGGTGCTCAAGATAATACACAGAAATGCCAAAATGCGTATATAGCCATCAAGAATTTTTTCACGAATCTTTTATCTTGATAGTTATTCAATTAACTTGCTTTACCCCAACACGTGAACTCGTGAACATTCTTCATTAACTCCTAGGTGAAAAGCATACATCTAATCTGTTACAAATTAGAATGCCTCCAATGTACCCTTGCATCATAAAACTGGTAGGAACTACTTATATTTAACAGCGTGATAACAGAATTTGATCCACGTTGCAGAATGTGGATACAGTCTGAAGATTACAGAGAAGAGTGATGTATACAGCTACGGCATTGTGCTCCTAGAGATCCTAACAGGGATGGAACCAACCGATCCCCGGATTCCAGATGGTGCGCACATTGTTATGTGGGTTAATGAAGAATTGAGAACAAAACACAAAAAGTTGACCTCAATTGTTGATCTACAATTACTTCACCGATCAAGTACACAAACTGAAGAGATGATTCAAGTGCTTGGTGTGGCTCTACTTTGTGTAAACCCTTCTCCGGAAGAACGACCCACAATGAGGGATGTAACTGCAATGCTGGAAGGTATAAGACATGAAAATGAGGAGCTCGAGAAACCTAACCATCTTAGGAAGGAAATGGTCTCAAACCCAAGAGCAGCAGCTCAATGTTCAAGTTTTTCTAGGTCATCTGATCCTCTAATCAGATCACCACCTCATTCCCAGTAGTTAGTTCCTTTTCTACCTAATTCTTTAATTAAGTAGATTCTTTGCTAGCAAGAATTACATTTTTAGATCTCTAGTAAAAATTAATGATTGGACATCATGTTCATTTACTTTGACATCAGAATTCTTCTTCAATATTTGAAGAGAAAAATCATGGGCTCAAATTCCATTTCCTCCCTTTAATTTAACGAAACATAAAAGTAAGAAAGTCTCCATTTTCTTCCAAAGAAAGTGTAAAAGCAGGGACAGAGATACATTAAACAAACAAAAAGCAGTTGCTTCTATTGACAAAATAATACAGATGAAGTTGGAAGAACATGAAACTTCCATACACAGAACGTTGTTCATTTTAGTTGGTCCATAATTGCAATTTCAAAACTGGGGTAGTAGTGTCCATTGGAGAGGGTAGGTGCAGAGAGGTATTGAACAGCCACTTACGAGCCTGGGCCAAACACAGCCTTCCACATTTCTCTGGGACCCATCTTGGCCCTCATCCCATCCCATGGTGAGTTGGATCAAGGCACACATACCAAGGTGGGTTGGGCCAGGGCCCGAATTTTTCGGGCGGGCCCACTAACACCAGTAAACAGGGGCAAAGAAAGGTCGGATGACAAAAGGCAAGGCAGTGATAAAATCTTGCCTGGCAGTATCCTTATGGACGAGCATAAAGGGAAGTAAAAGGTAAATCATTCTGTATCAAATCATCCAAACATCTCTTTCGTGAAGATAAAGTGGCCTGAATTGCATGTTCTTGAAAGATACATTTGTCCTGTGATAAAGGATTTCCTTAGGCCCACAAGTAGGTTATAGTACACTTTCAAACTTCAAGGGCTCAGATTCGTGGTTCATTCTTCGTCGGTCTTAGGATATTGGTCCATTGGGTCCATCTCTCTCATTCAATATGTGAAGTCTCACACTCAATACACATTTCACCATGAGAGAGAGAGAGAGATGCAGGGCCCATTAATTCCCAGAAGAGCTAAGAATTACATTGGATTTCACTAAGCATTCCACTCATTTCATTCTCATAAAATTTAGCATATAAAAAGCACTACCTATCTAAAAGGTTGCTCGGCTCGCGAGCGAAATTTTTGGCTTGGGCTAGGCTCGGGTAAAATGTCCAACCTTTTTTTCGGGCTCGAGCCGAGCCGAGCAAAAGCTCTGCCAAAATAATTAGACTCGACCTGAACTTTCGGTTCGGGCCTTTCTGCGCCGAGCTGAGCAGGCTCACTTTTTTTTTTACTCTTTTTTTTTTTTTTTTTTTCCTTTCATATATAGGTAGCAGGTTGCTGCCTTAGAAAAATGGCATCGGCTTGCTGCCTAATTTAGCAACCTTGCAGCCTTAAAATATTTATTTATTTACTTTTGGATATATAAAGGCCCAAGAGCCGAGCCCTTGAGCCATACGGGCCGACTAGGGCTTGGCCCGGGAACTTAGATTGGAGCTCGGCTTGAGCTTTTTTTAGGCCGGGCCACGGCGGCCCGAGCCAACGAGTTTGATTGTCATCCCTACCTATCTTCATATAATGGCCCAGTAAAACTAGGATTCAACAAATACAGTCAAATTTTCAAGGAAAAAAAATTTAATTTAGCAACAAGCTTTCTGTATGAATCCATTCACAAAATTTTTATTTATTTATTTATTTACTTTTGGATATATAAAGGCCCAAGAGCCGAGCCCTCGAGCCATACGGGCCGACTAGGGTTTGGCCCGGGAACTTAGATTGGGGCTCGGCTTGAGCTTTTTTTAGGCCGGGCCACGGCGGCCCGAGCCAACGAGTTTGATTGTCATCCCTACCTATCTTCATATAATGGCCCAGTAAAACAAGGATTCAACAAATACAGTCAAATTTTCAAGGAAAAAAAATTTAATTTAGCAACAAGCTTTCTGTATGAATCCATTCACAAAATTGAGGTTTACTGTTTAGCATCATATTTAGCTCCTATTTCCTAAAATATTATATTGCTGCATATTTAGATCACATAACAAATTACAGACTCAATGTTTAAGTTAGATTATTAAAAAAGTAGTAATATTTTCATAAAATATTGTCTTAAAAGGATTGTAACAAAACCATTTGATCTAAAAGTCATGAGGAAGGACTCAACAATACACATCAAACACCCAGAAGCAGTACGCCATGTGAGCTTGTAACGCATGTAAAGGCAAGACACACAGTGGCTTTGATCCAGCACAAAACGAGTTGGATTAAAATGGCTTAGAAGGAGGCTCGAATAATTGTTTATAGAAATTAGAGTTTTCTCAACTGTCCATCCTAGCTCTCAATATTTTGTGTGAATCGATGAGTTTTTTTTTTTTTATGTATAATCTTCTGGTTTTCTTGATAAATTAACAGGAAACTAGAAGATTGTTCGTGTGTGCACATGGTTTTACAGTTTTCATACATGCTACCTACAAAAGGTTTATAGAATGCACACAATACAATGATGTGCCTGTAACAAGATTTAAAAGAGACTTCAACTAGAAAACCATGAGTGCGCAGTATTGAACTGCAAAATGGAAACTCAGCCTGCTGATTAAGAAATGGCTCTTCCCTAAGAATATGACACTGAAGTGCTTGACTAACTATTGTAATACCCAATCTAGTCAAGCATATAGATTCACTTTGTGATATTCTTTTATCAATTCCCCACTAAATGCCATCCTCCAGATGTTGAACATGCATAAGCTATAAAATTAAATTATGAAATGACAACTTGTTCTGCAATCAGAAATAGGACAGTGAAAATGAAGAAATTCTTGTAACCAAAATTAACATACACAGCAAGTCAGAAGTCAGATACACAACCATGTAACGTAAATAAATAAATAAAGAATACACCAGCCCATCTATATCTGAAGACTGGAAGTGAATTCACAGGAACATAGAAGGGATTGCAATAGTAACATGGAAAGGAAAATATAGTTTACATTCTAGCAGTAGACTGGTTGATTGCCATTGCAAAAATAGTATCATGAGCCCGAAAGAGACGCCAACAATGACCTCAGGGATCCAATATGAACATCAGCAGTTATACCTATGCCTTGGGATGCCATTTTATACTGCATCCAACACTATTGCCAAAAGGGAAAATAGGTTCAGCATCCCCATAACAATATTTGGAACTTTCAACTTTAACGAAAGAATATCAATTATTGTAAAAGAAGATTGGTGAATAACAAGAGGAAAAAGAACGAAATAAAAAGACAATACCTGGGCTTCTGAATGGAAGTTACTGGCTGCCCGCTCAAAACAGTATCTATTGCTAGGCTTAAGTCCCTAAATAAAATGACCAAGTATGTATTAGAAACACGAGATTATGTGCCAAGGAAAATTTTTCCCATTTTAGCTTTATCAAACATTAAGATAAAGAAGCGACCTTCCTGTGACAGGCACATTACTGCTTGGCCTTGAATCATCGAACTGGCCATGATAAACTAGCTCAAAAGGCCTACGGCCATCCTGTCACCAGAATATCCATTCAAGTCAAGGCTAGAAAAACCAAATCAATTGGATTGATGTTACAATGCCAAACATCTGTACTTCAACTACCAGTGCATAATTAATTTGGAAGAGGGCCAGAAAAAGAGCTTCAAGCAGGTCGTGAGGATTATTCATTAGTGAAGGTAAAAATTACCTTTCTGAATAGAAAAAACTCTGGCGTGCAAACAGCTCCAAAATCTCTTGCAACATCTTGTGACTGCAGAGATATATTCTTTAATCAGATCTTTTGCACTTCTCATGAAAGATATATTCTTTAATATATATTTAACTTGGGTACGGCTGAATAATAAATCAAAATAAAGTAAGATTAGAAGCAACCTTCATCTACATTCAAGCATCCAGCATATAAAATTGAAACAGGTACAATTTTGTCAGACATAAAAAGAGGTTTCTATGAAACAGATTCATAAACTGCTAGCCGGAAAAAATCAGGAATTTTTTTCAGCAGTTGTACTTGAGTACTACCAATCGCCTTCACTAACTATATCTTTTCTTTAAATTTAGAACATGTTTGAGAAGAGTTTATAAACGGCTTAAATTATAAATAGATAGAAATAGTTATGGTTAAGTGGATAGTACTTGTACGTCCCACAAATGTGCGGATAAAAATGTGGTTTAACCAATTATAAACAATTTATAAACATTAGCCAAACATGGGCATAATCTTGGCACACACTTTATCTAAAATGAAAATTCCAATGTCTTACCAGTTAGCAGTAAACAACAAGGAAAGTAGGATTACAATAAAACAACAATATTCACTCATTTCAATACTTTAATGCTTGAGACACAATGGATTATATTCCCCCAATATAATTCATCTAAATGAACAATAAAATAATCAATGGCATCTCAACTGTTCCTGTTATGTACAGGGTTAAAAGTTGGACATTCTTAAACAACATACCAGAGATGGAATGTTTCAGGTTTCCATCTTCGAAATAAATTTCCCAATTATGAGTATTAATTTACCACAAGATCCCAAGTTATTGTCAAAATCACCCAATAACAGTATTTTTACAAATGTTTTGCACAAAATGAGAAGTGTCCTCTGCATACTATCACCACAAAGCCTAATGAAATTACATTAATAAAAAAGATAGAAAATAAAAGGGTGCATATCATAGGATTTTATTTTATTTTTAATGGAGGGATGAGCTGAAATATAAGCTTACCTCATCATAGAGGTATGGGAAAGGATAGTTAAATATCTTAGCTTCTTCGGCCATGAAGTCAGGTCCATCCTGTGAGGAATAAGTCAATTTTGGACATATCATACAATGGCTTCAACACTTCTCATATTTGAAGCTACAAAGTCATCTGAACCTGTGGATGAGTAGTTGTAGAGTTTGAAGATATTGCTACTACTGCAAGCCCTTTCTGCACAAGGAGTAGAAACCATTTAATACATCCAGTTATCTTTTGCAATTCTTCTTCTTTTTTTTCTTTTTTCTTTTCTCTTTTGTATAAATTATCAGAAGTGTATAGAAAACAGATGAGAACTAGATGTTGGTATACCTTCATGTAAAAGTTTGAAAGCTTTACAATACCTTTCTTCAAATGCTTAACGAAGGGGCAGTGGTTGCAGATGAACATGACCTACATTACCAAAATGTTTAAAATGAATAATAATTCTTTATCATAAAGATGGTATGTGAAACTTGACGGCGAGCTTCAGCCAGGATTCTTTGTTATACATAAGGATAATATTGCTGTGCTCAACCCATTTAAGAATTTTCGACATTTTCTTGATACGTGAAGAATCACATAGAGAAATAGCAGATGTTTCCTAGAGGTGAACTGGTTTGTTTATGGGAATCATTCTCAGAAATTATGTTGAAGTATCCTTATTCCTTCTGGGAAGATGGATTCACAAACCAAATCAAGCATCTGAGATATCAGATACAAGTTCTCTGTATAACCCATGGCAATAAACAAACTGACTTCAGGGAGAGCTTTCATGAAATAGTCTTGACACCTCTATCCCACCACGTAGCCTAGGTAATGAGAATAAATAGGGGGAAATTGTAAAAAGAAAGTCCCTACATTGCTCTCATTCCCAATGCCACCACCTGAACTATCTGCGCCAAAAACTGTGAATGATCCATTGTTTACTTACAGAATGCGTGGTTATACCTTGGGGGCTAGAAATGAGAGTTTTCCCATTATTGTGGAAATTATGCTCAAAAAAATAGTGGTGGCTCCAGGAAAGCCATAAATATTGAGGCCTCCGGTTCAATTAGCGTTTAACATATTTTTGCAACGACGATGAAATTATTGCATATTCTCAGTATTATTGTTTATAAATGAAATACTGCATACAAGAAAAAGCACAACGTTATGGTGATCGTTGGATAGTGAGGAGCAGATATATGTGGTATGGAGAAGCTCACTACCTAACATTTGCTGATATTTAAGGATAACAAAAGTTTAACAACGGAGACAAAGAGGTAGAAATATGTTTAAGCATAATATTTGTGGTCGCCAGCTTGACTGTCAAAATTAAGAGTATGAGAGACATGAGCAATTTGGTCTGTTTCATTTTGAGTTTTGGTCCGTCTTAAAGGTGAGTCTTTGGTAGCGGCAACTAACAAATGACAAGACAGATCCATATTGGGTTATACGTACTTATTAATTAGTTACTAGAGATACTAAAAGTGTAATTAGTCAGCCCCTGTTTGGCCCCCATTTTTTAAAAAGCATTTTTCCTCAACTCATTTTCAACCACATATTTCACGTTACCTACAATTTTTATCAATTTTTTAACCACATATTTCATCTGCTTTGATCAAAATATTAAAAATCTGATTTCTAGATAAAGTAAATAGGTGTTCAATGCTATCTTGGGGCTCAACAATGCTATTTTATATTAGAAAATTGCTTCAACGTGAAAACTCTACTGCAAAATGAATCATACTAATACAAGAAATCTTCACCAAGCTGGAACCTATGATCAACAAAATAGATTAAACCTAGTGATCTGGTGGCTGAAGAATTGAAATACCACAAGCTTATATATCACTTCTACTACAAACTACAAAAAACTCAATCATCTATTTCTTATTCAACTTCATGCATCTATGCTGCTATCCTAATTTACCCGAAGAGCTGGACATTTGTATCTACTCAGCTGAGTTTCCCAAAGTATAAAGAAAGGTCTACGTGTAAGCCAATGGTCCAAAATTCAAATTCCGCTTCTTTCTCTTCAAAGATGTTGCAACTTCATTATCAGTGCACTAGATTTTGTAACCCACCATATCTCATTTTAAGATGAAAACCGCTCTGCCATTATTATTTGCCTTAAAAAACATCCAGTTCACTAGATACACAAAGCAACATGCTGACAAAAGTGAAGGTTCTCAAAAACAACAATATCTTTTTAAAGTTCCCTTGGCAATGAATCATGCATAAGTGCTTGAAAACAACCAATGAGGTTAGAGCATGTTTGGCACAGCATAAATTATAATTTAAACTAGTCAAACATACTTTTTATACACACGACCCATAACTACCGACTTTTTATCCACATTCTGTAGGTCCCACAATTTATAAGCACTTAAAAACTATCAAACAAACACTTAGCCCTTGTTTGAGCTCCATCCTTAGGAAAAAAATTAATTCTTAAATAGTGTTTTGATATCATTTCAATCACACATTTTTTAATAAAATATTATTACATACAAATTCAAAACTTTTTCTTATTTTTTAACCACACATTTTCCATCAATACACTATTCAAAAATGTATTC